GTGCGGTCGCGGCCTGGGCGGCTGCGGCGCACGAACAGTGATGGGGATTGATTGGTGGGTTGATCGGTTGACCCAGGGCCGGGGAGAAGCCGGGGTGCAGGGTGCACATGGCGCAAGCCGCCGCGTCACGCGGGAGCCACACCGTCTGGCCGCGCCACTTTGCTTGGTGCGGGGTTTTGCACGGCCGCGTTCCAGCAGCCCCGGCGCCGCTGCGTGGCTGCCGCGCCGCCGGCCTCCGCTCGCCGCGCTAGTGCGCTCTGGGGAAAGCCTAGGGGTGTTGCAGCTGTTTGCCTGCGCGTGCCTCTCGACTGGTGCACCCGCTGCTCCGCTGGCACAGACTGTTGGCACTGAGGGGTTTTTGAGGAGATTGGGCCGACCAGCAGCGCTGACGTGGCGACGGGGGCGCGGCGTGGCGCACCTTGGGGAGTGAAGGAACCCTTGATTTGAACTGGAAGCGACTCGGCACCGGGGCGTTTTTCGCTCGAACTTTGCTGACGCCACACACTTGTACCAAGTCCTGCGCGGCCGCGCGGCCGACATGGCTCGCGCTCCGCGCATCGCCTGTAACTTTTTCGCCCCTGGTGTGGATTGCGCGCCGTTGCTGAGCGCCCGCTGCCGCAGAGGGCGCCCTGCTCATGCCCAAACCGCCGTCCCCAAGCCCGTAGATCAGACTTGTCTCTTCCTGACTACGCTTGCCTGCCGTCATCGCATCTGATCCTAATATCACATCTTATATCACAACTCTGATTGAGTTCGTTACCATCCAGGAATTTCAGATCGATCCGCAGCCGGGCCAGCGCGTGCGCGCTCCTGCGCCCGCCCCACCGGAGCAGCAGCCGGCTGCGCGCAGTGAGCGACCACACTGCTGGCCATATCGCGCCGCCCCATCAGCACGGGCCGCACGGGGCGCAGAGGCAGGGTCTTGCTCAACGGCCCCGCCACACCAGCAGACAGGACAGCCGCCCCGCGCAGCGTCGAGGGGCCCGGCCGATGACACGCGCTGACGTCAGCGCAGCACGGCGGCCACGCCTCGTCAGCGGTCAGAGGTCGTAGGTAAGGCTCCAGCGGCCCCGCCGCAGGTGCAGCCCCCAGTTGTTCTCGCGCACAGAGAGGTACGGCGCCTGCGGGGCCGACGCAGCGGGAGGAGGTGGCAGCGGGAGCAGGTCGGCCGCGGGGCAGGCCGGCCTGCGGGGAGGATCCTGCTAGCCGGTGCGCGAGTGCACAGGGACGGCGGCCGCGCGGCTCAGGGCGCGGGCCGCTCACCACTGTCGGTTTCCCGTCCCCAGTCGTCCGGCCGGCGCTCGCGCCGCCGCCGCCGATGCCGCGGCCGCGCGCCGGCCAGTCCAGGTCGAGCCCCGCCGCCACTTCAACGTCCTGCCGCTGCGTGAAGTTGAGCAGGCGCCGGCTGACGCGCACGCCGGCGCGGCGGGAGACCTGCGGGATCGAGGCGCGAGCCGCGGGGGGGCTGTGCGGCCGGGCGGGAGTCTACATGCAGGCCCGGCCGCCGCGCTGCCATCCATCCTGAATCCGTGCACGGCGCATGGATCCAATCCCCCCGGCGGCGCGCCCGCGGCCGCCCCACCTTTCCGGTCGCCGGCTGCAGGTCCAGCCGCGCCTTGGCTGTGAGCAGGGTGTCGTTGCCCTCCAGCAGCGCGACGCGCTTGCGCGCGCTGGCCGTCAGGAAAGGCAGGTCCCCGGTGGCCGACGAGACGCCGACGCCGCCGCCGATGCGGAGGGGCTCGTCGGCCTCCCCTTTGACCAGGGGCCCGCTGGAGTAGTACTTTTTGAGGGTCCCGCGGTAGCTGGGCGGGCGGAGGTTAGAGGGTGGGTGCATGGGGTGTGCGGGGCGGGCGAGGGCGGCGCGGCTCCGGCCGCACAGCGGTTCCACGGAGCCGTGGGTGCGGTCAGTGCTGCGGAGGACGCCCCAAGGGGCATCGGTGGGCCGGCTGCGCGGCGCGGAGGCCAGCAGGAGGGGCGTGTGCGTCACATGGCCACTATCGCAGGTGCGTGGCACTCCAAGCAATTCAAACGAGTCGAGCTGCGGTCGACCCACTGCCGCTGCGTGGGTTGGACCGCCGGCGAAGGGGCGTTGCGCACTGACCGCCCCACTGCTCACACGAAGTCGCCAGAGACTGTGTTGAGAAGTCCTTTGAATCGCGCCTCTATGTCAGGGTCCGCTGTTACGCTCTCTCTGAGGCGAAATGCCAGGTGCTTCTGCTGCAGATCGTAGTGCAGCTGAGTTTCCATCGACGTGAAGTAATATGTGATCCGTGGGAGGTCGAGGATGAGGCAATGAGGAGCGCTGAGGCGGTGATCTGGTATCAGTATGTATTGTAACAAGCCAATGGGAGCCCAGAAATGTGCTGTATGCACTGAAGAGTCTATATATCACTGCTGCAGTTGTGATATGGTAACTTGAAGGACCCAGCATGCAGGCGGCAGATGGCAACCGTGCAGCTTGAGCTGAGCTCAGCATGTTGCCAGCTGCACCCCTGGCATGGTGCAAAAGCGGCTTGTTGACGGCATCTGACACGTTCGCAATTGGCTTGTGTCAAACAAAAGTTTCAAGCGGCCCGACTCATTGATACAGTACAGTACATAGACGGTTCCAGACTATCACTGCAGCTGCCTGTGGATGTGGTCAACAGCGCCACTTTCAATCCTGAGGGGGGCATGCATTCACGCACCCTCATGCTGCACCCTTTTGGAAGCCCTTGATTCTCAAATCGCAACCAGCAGGCACCTCGGCTGAGCCACGCCACCACTTACACGGCCCACCTCTCTGTGGCCCTCCCCTCTACCAAGCAGAGAGCGTTGGGCGATATCATTACCAAAGCAAGCATTGTGTACATGTGATCAACCACTTAGTGTAGTGTGCAAGCTGAGGATTGGCAACCACCAACTGCAGCAGTCACAGCGTTAGCAGAGTTGAAGAGGCGAGGCCCTGATCAAGGGATTCACACCGTATCCGTGACAAAATGGTCAAAACAGCCAACTGCCAAAAAAACAATGTCTGGCTTTGACATCAATGCGGGCGGAAAGTCAGCAACAAAACCCAGGAAAAACAGCCCACATTTGCTCCAACATGGATTACTCGAGGCCGAAGACGGCCTTGAAGACCTCCCGCACCTTGTCGCCGCTGTCAATATCGGCCAGGGGGTCTTTGCGGAGGCGGTGGCGCAGACACAGGGGGATGACCCTGGGG